TGCAATTATCGGTGAGGATTCTACATCAGTTTATTTAGTTCGTAGCCCTGTTAACCCAGCCAGTGAACTGAGTGGCTACAACCCGGACGCCCGGACTTCTGTTCAGAGTATCAGAGGCCTCACTATTTTCTCTACACCACTGTAACAACCCTGACCTCACATACAGGGAACGTGGCTGTAACGATAGTTGGGACAGACTACTCTCCACATATTGCCTGCTTAAATTACTTGGCCAATTAACTTTACGCCCCAGTAAACTTTCACGAATTCTTGCTTTCTCAAAAGGATAAATATTCATACTTGGAGATTACATAATATTGTTTAATGCCGTAATTTATAGAGACGATGGAGGTCTTCGTTAATTTTAACACTGCGGCAGGTTTCTTGTTTTGAGTCAGTCTGTACAAGCAACATCATAGGAATCTCAGGAGCGCAGCAGTAGATTTATCCGGATCTCGTTAATTCGAAGCAGACCATGTCTGTGGATCATTACGGAAAACTTCCTGTTCAGCCATATGGCTGCTGGAGGTCAAGTTCTGGTGCTACGTGCTTGTCTGCAAACCCTCCCTCCTTCGTGGGTTCTGCTCTGCAGTCTTGTAGGGGCAAGTTTTAATAGCCTTCTGGCAACGCTTTGAAATGTATTTTCTCGTCTGGTCCTTAATTCCCAACTTTAGCGTTATTTCCGGGTTAAATCTCACTTTATCCCCTCTCCCAAGAAATTAAATTACATTAATTTGACCCCAAAACTCCGAAATATCAAGTAAAATATGAACTTCACTATTGTTAAGTAGGAGTCGAGTAACTGTTGTGTGTAACGCTGTGACAGTAAGCATTTAATGGAAATGAAAGTAAATACTGCAAACTATGTGGAGCTATGTAGCCACTCTGTTGAGGAGAATGAGGACCCTGCTACCATCGGGTAGCCACATTGTAATAACTCTTCGTATTCTGGGAATATCTAGTTCGAATTTCGGTACAGAGACACTTCTCCTCTCTGAGGTTTGTGATGATTTCACTCATTCCGTCCAGAAACACGCCGAGACAGGCCGTAGAATCATAACACGGTATAACCGCCCTGATGATGGACGCAACAAGGACCTCTTAACGTTGGTAAACGTTTACGAGACTACACGGTGCTACAACCCAGAAGATAGCCATCCACGTTCTCACGGCCGTGAGAACCTCAAAACCTACTTATAACACGGCATGTTTCTTCCTCCTAACAATTCACCACTAAATCGCCAGCTTGCAAAGCCTAAACACAGATTTAACATAGACCGCGTTATCATAAAACGTTTCTCCCTAACGAAATGGTAGACGCAAAAGTTTGTCAAGCCACTCTGAATTTTAGGAGTGGGCATAGATCGAATCGTCCATAAACCTCCCTCCCACGCGTGAAGTTTGGATAACTGTCCTCCATACCTGTCCTCCCAATTGTGTGTGTGTGTAATGCCTTGCGCATTGTGATATCGATTGAAGAAGCTTCTACAGGAAAGAACCCCTAAAACGTCCCCTATTCGAAGGAAGTGGAGGCCCCACCCCCATGCAGTTCACAGAGACTTCATTCGCATTTGGGTCTCACCCAGAATGAAAAAAAACACGTCCTTCTGTGAACTCAATGAATGTCTCTTTGTCATTGCCTTTTACTGACGTCTTCTTCTCCGCTCTTTTCCACAAACATACTTGACTTACCAGTGTATAAACGGGTTACGTCCAATTGATATATGACGGTAACTATTTATACCACCTGTTAAATATCGTATTTGCTTCTATTCCTTTTCCTTTGAACACACTGACAACCATTTTTTCCCCATCTGATCAATGTAATCGAGTTGGACTGCGTTGTTAACTATCATGTGTTTACACACGTGTTTTCTTCAGCTACGTTCTGTGGACCTATCTAATTAATGTGATACAGTATATGCTTTAGGGGAAAGTAGGGAAGTAACACTGCGACTGCAAAATAAGTATATTTACAAGTTTATTAATCTGTGATGGTATTGGCTTAAACATTCTCCAAATATCAGTTAATGTTTGCTTGTTTCTGCCACTGGACACACATTCTGTATACCGCCTTCATGTAAAACGAAGCATGTGACTTGTGCTACGTGTAATGTCCCTTGTCATAAAGACGAAGCTTCATATGAGTGACGGCGTGTCCCTCGCTCGCTTTTCTAAGCGAAAGGAGTTGATTTTTATGGCCTATTGTAAGTCCGAACCAAGACATCGGTAAATTTACGAGATGTGGGATGGAACAGTATATTACATTCTGCGTTGTTTCTTTCGAAGTGTAATTTCGTCAGTGCAAGCCAATGCCACATACAGCTTTTATGTTCGTCACCTTTGTCACCGTTCTTACGCGACCCCCCCTGTACGATATATGCCCTGGAATTCCTTTCGCGAGGGTCAGGCTGTTCTCCGGAGCTTAAAGCCAAACATAAACCTCAGCACAGTAAACCCTCGTTCCTCGAAAGCAGCGCGATGGGTGAATCCGCGTTGGACGAACTCGGTATTGTATGGGATTAGTGGGGATACAGGAACACGGCCGTGGAAACCAAAGTAGATAAACAATAGAACCATGAAGAAACTGTGTAATATAATTATCATATGAAAGTTAAGTATTAAAGGAAATTATGGATGGGAAGTTATGCAAAGTAAAATACCATTGTAATGTAAGATTTGAGAATTTCACGGCGGTGAATTTGGAGATGGCTGGGTTTTGTCAATGTAATGTCGGGTATTAAAATGCTAGTACGAAGCCAGGTATCATACTCCACCTCATCGTATAAACACATTAATTTTTCGCATTTATTTTCACGCGTATAATCGAATCCGCGTTAGAAGAAAGTTTGCTGTACAACAAAATAATATAACAGTAACGAAAATCACTTGTATTTTAGTTTTGCTTCGTGGGGTATAGGTATAACTTTATTATCGAGCCGTTGCCGAAGAACAAACATAACTTAAACCCTTTTTGTTTGAACGAAGCTATTTTACGTTCTTTTGAACTTGTTATCTGTTTCTTACCCTCGTCGCGGGGAAATGTTCTCAGAAGTTATGAAAGCTCACATTATATTGGTAACAGTGACGCGCCGTCTGCACAGAGAGAACAGAACAGAGGGTCTCCTGAGGAGTGCAGGAAATGATTCTCATAAAGCAGCCTCGTCCATGTCTCACGCAGTGAGCCCAGGAGCCATGACCCCCGATGCAAATAAGTTCGGACCAGTGTGTGCCAAACTCGCGAAACGTCACACAGACATGAAACTGTATCCCGAGCACTGCTTGGCATTCTTTCCTTCCTCGCAAAAAAATCCTTATATTAAATTCCTCCATGTGGAATTGGAGCCAGTCCAATTACTGGCATATGTCATTAGCCTATGTCACTGATCTTGATTACATGCGATAAGAACTAATGTCTTCTCGCTCCTGCATGTAATGATGGGCGTGTTACTGTGTTAAATATGGCGGTCTGTTACTTTACCGTGAGGAGTCACAGTAACTGGGTCTTTCGCCAGTAGCGTCTGGCTGTTGTATATTTACGACAGACGCATGGAACGTTCCCATGGTCTTTGTCCCAGGGGGACGTTCTCGTCAGTCAGCGTCTCTTTGATGTCCCGTGAGAATCCAGAAGCCATTCAGGGAGGAAACGGAGTGATCAGTCTTACCAATCCTTCGGAACCAGCTCTAAACACGTTCGGATTCCCGACTCTGTATACACATCGAGTGTCCCGTAATTGTGTACAAATAAGCAAAAACCCATTCTTCATTGTATGATGCGGCATTACCCTAAGCTGTAAGAGAACTGGTACATTTTACGACACCTAGTTTGGGACCATTACGTTACAACAAAGGTCGTTATCGCGGTGATGCTGAAGAATTGTTCTATACCGGTGGCGCCACGCGATTGTGTGTCAGAAAAATTGTGGGCTCCTTGTTCCTACGCGATCGTGTTTATGTATGTGTAATTCTTGTTAAATGTTCTTGCCCAAGAATGCCACATGTTGAAGTTTCAACACAAAACATTTGTTTGTCATTGTTTGCACGCCATCTTACGTAGAGTGCTCGCGGGTTGCTGTGAATAATCAGCGATCGATATTAAGACTTAGAAACACAATCTCCGTAATCTTACATATTAGTCTACACAGAACATTGTTACGGAACATGCTATAGCTGGATCTGAGCCTGGAAGAGACAAGTTGCAATTCTTTTTGTCATCGATAAGGGCCTTGGTCCTTTTAAAGTGTTTCTAAAATCTCCGTTTCATTTTCGAAAGTACAGCCATGACGCAATTAGAACATTGCACGTGACCATTTGATACTAGAACGGTCGGCTCGTATTTGCTGTGATGCTATTTTTACTTTAGGACAGTAAATCTCGAAGACAATTAGTGACGTCTGCTGGTCGTGATACGAAAGCTCAGTTTCAAAATGCGATAGATTCGGTAGATTACTAATACCAGATAATTTACGAAACCTACAATTTAATCTGTTTTTCAATAGAAAAGTTTGGGTGTAGTTATCTTCATTCAGAACTGGTGCTAGTTTTTGGAATACAGCTCTGCCAATGTAGAAATTGCTATTAATTCTGAAAACCACGAAAGGAAGTTGAAGTGCCGATTGCAGCCTGTTTAATGCTCTTATTCATTGCATTATTGATCATGAAACTCTATATCATGTCCTAGTCCAGTCCGTATCGTCACAATCTATTTATCAAATATACATTTAATGTATATGATTACTCCAACTACGCCAAAGTTTTACACATTTTGTCTTCAATTTAGGTGTTCCAACCAAAATGTTGCATTTATTTATTTATTTATTTTCCCTCGTTACTTTGGTGTGAGCACATGAATACTGCATTTCCCACACTCATGAATACTATATTTCCCACAGCACGATCTTCTGGATAAGCTTATTTATTCCGCAGGGACCAACACGATGTACTCCTGTCCCCAGGGATCATTCGCATTCTGCAATTAATGTACATACGTGTTCCAACAGATGTCCATGACTGAAGCGTCGCAGTTTCTACACCAGTCACTAGATGGCAGGGCGTACTGGAGGTCTGTGACGGTGCTGCTACCTGACACATGGCCCTCAAACTGCTTAGCCCGGTCTATCATCGGCTCAAGTGGTGAGCTGCCGGATATTTCGGTTGGGGTGCCCCATCCCGTGTTCGGCAACGCACCGTGGACACAGCAGTCGCAAGGATGTGGACAAGTCGGTGATATGATCCATCTCAGCTACAGAAGGCTCCAGAATATTGGTACTTACCTTCACAATTGTCCATTTACAACTAAAGAACAAAAAAACGGATTTTGTCGGGGAATGAAATGAACTGGCTTACATTACAGGTGGACGTCGAATTTTGAGTTAAATTACTTTTATCTCCGAATTCAGTTAACAGTGGCCAAAGGTTCAAATCCAGCTTAGGGGATGAATGTTCGTGTTTTCTTTTACAATAATAAGTCAACCCAACACCCAAGGAGGCTTACCACTCGTAAAGTTAAGTAAAGCCGTCCCACTATACGCCATGTAGGCGCTTGGGGGGGGGGAGGGGAGAAATAGCTCCTACTCATTCTTGACCTCGGCACAAGATGGGTGTAAGTGGTCAGCATCATGCCTCAGTTGCGCTTTACCCCCAGCAAAGGACCCTGGTACCCTTTGGATAGGAGGCTGGGTGGACCCCAGAATCGATCTGCACGCATAAGCTAGAGGAAAATTCCTCTGCCCTCGTCGGGGATCGAACCCCGATCGTCCAATCCGTAGCCAGACACTGTAATGATGGTAAGATTTTATAAACCTAAAATATTTGTTTTTATTTGTAGGTCGCTTGCTTGTGCAGCAGTGGGTTAAATATCACTATGGTGTATTTGATGAAGTTGGTTACCAGTCGGATCCAGTTTATCCAATCTGCTACCAGAATGATCGTGGCCAGAAACAAGTCACTGGCTGCTCAGATATTCCAGTCCAGGATATGGGGTAAGGATAATCCCATAACAGGGACACTTGAAAATGAACACTTTACGGATCATTTTGGAATCGCCGAATTTTCAGTCCTGCCAAGCATAGGCTGTTCTGACATATCCATGTGGGTAATTAAGGTTACCAAGTCGTTAACACCACATGAAGTTGGTAGTCTCTGTGCTCTTGCCTGTAGAATTTACATTGTTGACACCTGC